TATATGGTGTAACTCGGGGTTTGAATAAATTGGCTACATAGCCTGGACCATTCTCCTTGAAACATTTAAAAAATATCATTAAGGATTGTTCTATGCGTCTGTGTTCCAAGGTATTCATATCTGCCATCCTAAGAATTGATTCATAATCGGTACTTTTCCCCATGTTCATTATAGTTCGTAGACCATAATAGTTCACATCTTCCAGTTTCTTGTTCAGTGTTTTACCTATACCCAAAAGTAAAGAGTTGCAGTATTCAAAATGTGATCACACAAAGCTCTTGTAAAGAAGCAACATAGTATTTGCCGGTACTAAACGCTTAAGGCGGCGAAGTGCGCCTATCTTGGAATATACTTTCTTCTACTTTCTCTCAATTTACTGATTTCCTCAATTTCCTTATCAAACTTTTCTGTTAGAGGTTTCAAGTCTTCAGACGTCTTTTCATAAACATTCTGCTTATTAGTTCGAACTTCTTTTATAACATCCCTAACAACTTCAGTCATTTTTCCTGCTTCAATTTTAGGAATACTGAGTCTATTGAATCTTTCTATATCCATTATACTATTGTGTTATATAAAACTTATCTCAACTTATCTGAACTTATCTCAATTTATCTAACATAATATTATATGGATATTCCAAATTATGATTTCAATGAAGATGAAAATACAAACTTCAAACAGCTGTACAAGTATATGCCCAAAGTCCAATTTTCGGATGCTAATATGTGGTAATTCAGGGTCAGGCAAAACAAATTTACTTTTTCACATCCTTATGAAACCATTAGTCTATTATGATCAGATCCATTTGTATGGCAAAAATCTGGAACAGGAAAAGTATCAACACATGATAGAAACAATGAATGACATTAGTAGCCAGGTTGGATATGACATAATGCACTGCAATAATGATGACATTAAACCTGTAAATAGTCTGGAGAGCGATGCCCAGAAAATTGTAATATTTGATGACTTCATTTGTGTTAAAAACCAAAAGCCGCTTATCGATTACTTCATTCAAGGCCGTCATAAGAACTGTAGTGTTATTTACCTGCCACGATCATTTTATAAAACTCCAAAAGATATCAGACTAAACTGCAGCCATTAAGTTATTTATAATTTCCCTAGCAGTAATGAGAGAAATATGATCTCTAGAGAGCTGAATGTAACAAAGGATCAGTATATTAAAGCAACAAAACAGCCGTACTCATTTCTGTATGTTGACAAACCAATGAAGACTGTCAAAAGAAACTTTTATGGAAATATCTAATATACTATTATAAAATGGGAATTTTTAATCAACAACCTAATTATAATCAATCATATACGGTATTACTGGCCCTCAAGGACCTCCTGGCCCGCCTGGACCTGCTGGTGCTCAGGGTGTCCCTGGACCTACTCGCCCTAAAGGTGCTACTGGTCCTACTGGCCCTAAAGGTGCTACTGGTGCATCAGGCACTGGTTTTAATCTCACATCAGATGGGAATTATGATATGACAAACAAAAAACTGACAAATATGGTTAAGGGGACTGCTTCCAATGATCCCGTAACTAAAAATCAACTTGATACTAAACTATCACTTTCTGGTGGTTTAATGACCGGCAGTTTGGATGTGAATAGCAATAGGATTTATAATGTAGCACAACCAGATGATAGATGATAATTATTTGAAACTGTCCGGTGGCACTGTTACTGGTCATATAATATTAAGCAGTGCTGTTCTTACTTCACAATATCAAGCAATAAGCCGAAGCACTGGAAATGCATTTTTTGTACAAATTACTAAATCCGTATGTTTTAATATGGTCAAAAACAGGATTATTAATCTTGGAGACCCGACTGATGCTACTGATGCTGTTAATAAACAGTATTTAGAAAAATGACATGTTAAACCCAGCCATTACAATAATGAATTCAAGTACCTAATGACTAATAGATTAGCATGGACTGATCTCGAACCGAATAACATCGGTAGTTTTAACATTACTAAAATTGATAATTTAATGCCCCAAGATGGTAACTACCATCAATACAACCACAAAGTTCTATATACAACCATTATAAAAGATAAGCAAGGAGGATACTCTTATAAAATGGGAATGAATTGTTATCAACTTGACAAAGATAAAGACTATACTCTGTGTATTGAAATCCTCAATTCAGATTGCCAATTATGGCATAAATCAGTTGCTACAATTGATAAAACCACATCAAAGGGGGTATCAGTTGCTGGTTTTACGGTACAAAAGTTTTCTCACTGGTACACAAATAGTACTGGGAACACTGCATATATGTATTATATCAAAATAATTGTAAACTTTCAAAAAACTGTATCAGGTACATTTTACAGTCGGGATCTTTACGTTAATATACCTCAGACAGGCATTGATCTCAACACCTACCCAAAAAATTGGACAGATAACTGGATGATTGCTTATGGTGTTTTCGGAAAAGTATCATCGATTGATCCTCAAAAAACGTACGATTACCACACAGCATTTGATATCAAACCAACAGAAGTTGTTTACAATGTAAATCTGGATATGAACAGAAAGAAAATATTAAACATTGCGCCAGATAAAACGAAGAATAATTTGGCTGCTACTGTAAAGATGGTCAAAGATTTGGAGACAAAATTGAGCCCATATACAAAGAATAATGTGTACAGGGAAATATTTGAGGAATTTTATGATTTAAGCGATGCTAGTACCTATAAAATAACAATAGGAGTATCAGGTATCATGGTTTCAGGCATCCAACCTAATATTTATTTTCCTAGAATGGATATTGCCAATATTTAGGAGGGTGGATTGAGAATAAAAAATACCACATTAAGTTTAGACTTATTCAGTAAAAGGAGCTTTACTCTTTGTGTTGTTATGCAGCTGTGGCTGAACAGAAACATGTACATTAAAACATTGATGAGTAATGGAGCTTATGAAAAACCACATTTGATTTATGACAAAACAACAAAGAAATTAAAACTGCAAACTAATGGTCATGGAGCTGGGTCAACTTACGAAACTTCAATCACATTACTAAACAGTTTCAATGATAAACGAGTTGTGTTTTGGTTGACTAAGAAGGTACAGGGGTACTGAATTGTCGTTTTCGTAGTTAATCATTAATATCACCTTGTGATTGTGATTCAAGTTGAAATCGTAGAGTCTCATTGATGTGTAAGTCTTATAAGAGTCTTCTATGTCACTAGATATCTCATTACATGTCTCCAAACTTTCATGACTTCGATTCCATCAAATTTCATAGAATAATGTTGCAGGAAAAATTGAGCGGTTCTTATGTTCTGTAATTTGTCTAAACTAATAATATAATGAGTCAAAAAGAAAACATATTCTGCTTTAATCATATCGATAAAAGTAAAACAAAAGAAGAAATCCAGGAAATCAAAGAATTGTACAAGTATTATCATTTTAAGTTCTGGGTTTATCAAAAGGCCCATAAATATTTTAAGAAGCTGAATCTCTTATTGAACATGACATCGACCGGCCTTATAGTGGTCGGAACAGTTGTTGGTAGTTCAACAGCCAGCCCAGTCATTATAGGAAGCATGTCAGGTGCTGGTTTAGCGCTAAAAACATTCTCTGAGATGAAAGACTACAAGAAAAAAATAGAATTATCTAAATTTTGTTACACGACTTACAGTAAAGTATTAGTCGAGTTGAGGACTTTGCTGCGAGGGGCTACCTTTGAAAGGAAATGACAGTCCTCGATGAAACAATTGTCGATTATGCCCCATTAGTGACAAGATTTGAAAAGCAGTACGCTAAAAAGTTCCTCTCCTGTCCAACAGAAACCGTGAAATAAAATGGCGGACAGTTTGAGACAACAACCTCGTCCCCAGGGCCTCTCGCTTAATGAGTAAAATCTATTTCTGGTTAGGGGCTTTCCCTAGTTCCGGTCTAAATTCTGAGAAATCAGCTGATCGACATCGGTCTTGATTAGAGCATAAACTCTCTCCCACCAATTTTCATAATATTGTAGTGTATTTTTTGATCGAGTGAGAGGAATCTTATATTCTACTCCTAAAATATCAAAAAGTTGTTTTATAATAAAATTCACACTAATAAGCCGTCTTCTGCAAAAATTATTGACTTGGGGTATAACTTGGTCAATCAACCGAAATATTCTCAGAATCTTCTCCCTATTATAATAACCAACTTGTATATTATTATCGTGTGCAATATCATTGATGACATTCAAAATATGATATTTTCTGTGGTATACAGATTTTCTTTTTATCCTGTGTCTATTCTCATAAAAATCTACATACTCGTCTGCTGTTAAATAATTATGTACTTCACCACAATTCTTACACACAAGAAGTTTATCCTTTATCAGTTTCATATTTTTGCAACAACGCATTCGAATACTTTTAACTTCAACTAAATGCTCAAAACAAAATGGACACTGAACATGGTCATCTTTTATTAACTCTAAATTAATTTCTTTACAGTCATTCATTCTATACTATATGTAAGATAATAATTTTTTAAAAGTATTTATCCTCTGACGTAGCGACACAGCTGTGGCGTGATGTCATTTCACACTTTTTCAGTTATCCAAAATTATGGCATCATAATAAACCTCTGACGTAACGACACAGCTGTGGCGTGACGTCCCTGCATAGCTGTGGTGAAATCACAGGTGCCGCAAGCACAGTCTACTTCATGGGTCCACAGTTGTGCTGCCTCATGATGACTTTTAAAATAATCAACAATAGTTTTACCATTCTTTACAAACCAGATAAGTGGTAACTTACATCTCAACACTTTTTTATAAGCGTAAAAAAGCTTGTAAAACAACCTAAGTTGTCGAGCCCTTGTTTTCTTAACTTTACATTTCAAATCAACCCAATCGTCAAAGTTACCGTAATTTCGCTTCATATTCTTCTCCTCTTGAAACTTTTCGAACGCTTTACACAACCACGCACCATACATTAAAGCATTTTGAATAACATAATTCTTAACACTCTTAAAGCAGTTTTCACACTCTTGAATGCGAGTTTCATAATCAGCTAAAGAAATATCATCTTCTAGTACATTTGGAACAGCAAAAACAACTTTCTCGCCTCTGGTGTAATTGTCCACCATTTCCTTGATAAGTGAACAGCATCACATTCAATCAAAGCCGCAGAACGTTTCTTTCGCTTTGATTCTGGAGATTCTTCAAATAATAGTTGTGGAACATTTGGCGATGCTAATATAGCAGGCCAATCTTGAAGAGCAGCTTTAGCCTCATCGGGTTTCTTGTCATTAAGAAGTTCTACAGCATAATCTCTTTGTAGACAACAATTTGAGTACAACTTCATCCAATAGTCTGTGAATAACTGTACTTTTTCATTCATGAAAGTGAGGTTTTGACGGTAAAACCCGTCGATGATTTCCACGTCAAAATCTCTCTCATAGCCAGTGTCACTTGCACCTTCTAAATCGATGTCCATCAAATCAGTAAGGTTTGTTTTACTCTCAGCCATTTTGTAAATTAAACTAAGTCACGACCTACTAACATCTCTCTTTATAAGAAAAATAGGGAATTTTCCCTTATCATCCATTATCAGTTGTGATTGGTTAAGAGATTAAACACAATAGCCATCTAGAACATTCTGATTACTTATTTCCTCGGGAAAGTCCCTACGACTATATCTCATGATTAAACATAATAGCCTTCTAGAACATTTCGAGGACTTGTTTCCTTGGGAAAGTCCCTATTTGATAGTGGCCATATGCCAAACTATTGACTCCATCAGTAAAAATATATCTCTTGCCATCAAAACAGGAAAGCGATATCTTATTCAATTCATAGCTGCCCAATTTATGACAAACACTTCTAATTGTTTTCATGGTATGATAGATAACAATTATTCACTGAAGTGGAGGTGGCTAGTCCTGGATATTTACCGAACTGCGAAGCAGTGAGGTAAATATCCAGGACTAGCCACCGACACTAAGGTGAATAATTGTTTTAGTATATACTAAAACAGTGAGATAATTGAGCACAAAAACGACGATTTTTAACTCAAATACTGTTGCCAACGATTACAATTTTGGCGCCTAATGACCGGGCGGCCGCGGCCGTCGCTTTTTCTTGCCGGCAACTAAAACTTTTGAAGGCATTTGTTTAGCTCTTGCGGGGAAATTTCTTCAAAAGGAGTTGTGAATTCTTTTTGTATTTAAAATCATTCTATAAAAAAAGATTATTAAATTTAGTTTTAAGCTTATTTATGAACAACTCAACTAAATAAAGTAAGCAAGACTTAAGCTTCATTTGCATTTGTAAACAAAAAACTTTTTCACCGGTTTTATCGATAAATTCGTGTCAAAAAGACAAAGCTTTACCTGTTAAAACTTCCAATCCGAACTTTGTCACCTTCTTCGTGTATTTCGGAAACAGCTTGCTTGATTAGTTGTGAAATTTCTTTGTTTGTTTACGGCAGCAGACTGGGAAGGCATTTTGCTTGCAACTTACACGAGTTTGGCGTCGCTCACTCCGAGGAACTGGAGGTGAATCAGTGAATAGTGCAGGATATTCACTGATTGAGTAGCTAATCAGAGCTCGCGAAAAACACTATCCACTGTTTTAGTATATACTAAATTTGCTTATTATTTAAAAGAGTATCTTTGTAGTCTTAGTGGGTGATGTTCTTTTTGATCACATACTTTCTTATACCTGTGGCAGTCTTTTCATTTTTCCTATTATCTTTTACATATAAATACATCTTACTGCGAAGCCCAACAAATTCAGTAATGGGGACACCGGCCGCCTCATCCTTCATCTTACCAATAACTTTCTTATTAGTAGCATCAAAGAATAAACTACTTTTATCATAATCACTGTTGTCAAACTTATCTCTATCAATCCAAAAGTCTTTGTAAGCGTCCTCTGTCTGGATCTCATAACATAAGCTATCTGTGTCTGTAAACAATAATTTAGCTCTGTCACTATATTTTTGTTTAATGTAATTATAATGAAAGGCGTACATTAATACTTTGCTTAAATCAAGAATACACATTCCGATGTAGGCCGGTCTGTCTAGAGTCAAACATTCTTTTATTTTATGTACTGCAACTAAGTTTTCATTGAATATTTTACTGTGAACAAATGTTGGCCTGGATGCGAATTTAGACATCTTCTTTTGATCTGCTACTAATCTCACGTCAACTCTCTTGCGTAAATTTTCGCATATTTTTCCATATATACTATTATTTAGCAGTTTAAAAAAGTCCTTTTCGAAAGCATTTTTAGCATTTGTTCGTTTCTGGGTATTAAAATCAATGTACTGCTTCAACCATGGGGACTGATCAAATTCCAATTCTTGGCTTGCACTCACGTGACTTCCGGTACAACTTGCTATTTCCGTCCGCCATGTTGGTGTTCCAAATACCAATATGGCGGACGGGTGCTAGTCACCAACACGTATATTAAGTCGCGATTTTTTCCAGTTTCGCCTCCTCAAAATGCCAATGTGCCTGATTGTGGGGTGTTCTAGAAAAAGCGGTGGAGCTAGGGGAATCCGCTACAGTTCATTAAATGCATTATACATACAGATTGTGCAATTAAAAAACAGCCAGTTCTAATTAATAGGTACGGTAGAGTGCACATTTAAAATGGGACCAACAGACAAATGTAAGATTCTCCTGTACAGTTGTTGTTTATTGGTAAAAAAAGATGTTGAAATTTTTAACAACTATACAAAATGAACTCAAGTGAAATGTTCAGATTTACACCCCTCAAGGGCTGCTAAGGTTCATTAGTGATCAGCATCAATTTTCTCCTTGTAATATATTTTCTTATTTAGAAAAAAGTTTATGAGAATTAAGGATATGATCATCCAAAAAGAATTATTTTGATGTTTTAGCAGCTTCCACTCATAGTGCTAATTAAAGGTCTGGTTTCTTGTACCACAGTTACAAGCTTTCTTGCCTGTTGCAAGGTGCACAGCGAGCCAATCAAAATTAAGAATTTGTTATAAATATGATTAGCTTGTTTTTGTCTTGAGAACCTAATTAAAAGTCACAATGTGATACATGTAGTTTTCATGAAGCTCAATAAACCTTTTATGCTAAAACCTTGTGCTCAGTGAAAAGCCAGGGCTTTAATAATTAAATCACCTATATTTAAAAAGATGGAAATTGTGTCATCGCACCAGCTCTAAGACAGGTCACTAAGTGTAGGCGCATTTTGGCAATGTCATAAGTCATGTCTTGTGGTGTAGATCCTAAAACAAGACTTGTTGCAAAAGCAATGGCGAATACCCCGCAATCACTGCCATTTGTTTGCTGTTGGCAAGGGGCATACTCTAGTTTCTGAAAGCTGTCTGCTAATAGGTCTTTGACCTGATCTTCGACTTCTTGTGAGATTATGTCATGATAAAGACTATCAAAAAGTTTGACTGTTCCGGGGGGACATCCTATTGAGCTGACACACACCCAGTGATCTTGTCCTGTATGCAATAACTGCACAAATTCACCAGAAACTACGCTAAAATTTCTCACTGGACCTAACGTAGGACGTTGAAAACCTTCAATCAGAGGGTTTATTTTCTGCAAAAGTACCTGTGCACTATGGATAATTGCACCGTCAAGCCAACCATGTGGGGACATAATCAGCGGATAATCTTGTTCATCAAGATTTCTAAGTGAATGATGTCTTTCAGATTCACAAGTTGTAACCATGGTAATTTCAATGTCATCAGCACTTTCCCCTTCACTGTCAGAATCTCGTGCACTGTACATGTCAAGTTCAATGAACTCAGGTTCACTATCATGGGATTGAGAAGAACAAGTGGTAGTTGTAACTGGGTTTTCCTGACCAGTTGATACTGGAACTGCAGAACTGTCATGAAATGGCTTTGCATTGCTTTTCTTGCAGTTGGTGCATTTCCAGGTGGTCTTGCTGTTGTTCGGCATTTTCTTGTAACCGAGGCATGTCAAGTGAAAAAATTTTCCACTTTGACAATCTTTGCTGTGGCACTCAAGTAATTTGTCAGATTGTTGTGGCACTGCTTGGCAAATACAAACAATGTCAAGAGATAAAGCGCGGCCCATTATTTCTGAAAAATTTTTCTTCATTTTGCTCAAACGCTTAAACTCTGGGAGCCTGCAGCAGTGTGGGCAATACCACCCCTTGGGAAGTGGGGTTGAAATTGCCAAACAAGATAGATGAAATTCAACAAATGGGCATTGAGGGTTCCCACATTTTACAGTGTTTCCATCTGATGGCATTCTGCAAAAGCATATTCCAGCACCTGCTTGTGGCATCTCATCAGACATATCGCACTTTCTTGAGTACCATCTGCCTAAAATTTCAGGCAAAATACATGTTCTCCAGAAAGTGGTAAGTTTTGGCAAAACAGCATTCATGTGACCATGGTCAGGGTAAATTCTTTCTTTCACAATTGTAGCACGATGGGAACTGTCAAAGGCGCAAACAACAAAGTCATTGTACTTTCTTTCTGGTAATGTAAAAAGCTGTTGTTGGACTTGAAAAAAGTAGTTGTGGCTTCGCTTCAGCTGGAATTTGCCCGCTACCTTTTCCAGACAGGAATTCTTTTTCAACACATAACTATCAAAGTCACACCTGTCAATACATAAAGGACATTTCACTTCACCACATCCCAGTCCACAGCATGAGCAAGATACCAGAAAGTCTGGAGTAGCATGAATCCAAGGATACTCTCGGTTGATAACTAACCCACACTGAGAGAGTTTAAAGTCAACATGACTCTTAATCATTTCTGCTTCATAGGCTTTAATCGCATCAGCTTCGTGTTTGCACCCATAAATCACTGCCTTTGTGTTAACTTTAAACAAATTTGGATAACAGATTGACTTAATCAGTGTTTGCGATGGCTGAGCTGGGTTTGTCCGGCAGACTGCTCCACTCACTGATGCACCAATACGACCCGCTCTATGTCGAAAAAATGCTGACCCCTTTGCCTGGTTTTGTGTGTCTCTCTCAATTTGCAAAATTTCTTCACTTGACAAACAAATTTCTACACTAAAGCATTTCTTTAGTAAGTCAGTATATGACAGCTTTAAATTCTCGTCGTCAAAAAGGTCTGGGATTGTTGGGATACTTCTACTTTGTGACACAAACTGGCTAGAGTAAGGCTCGATGAGGCTCAAAGCCACCGGTTTAATTCTCGATTTGTTTAGATTTGCATAGAAGTTGTCCATTTCAGTCTGCGTGGGAACTTGAACGGTCACTTTTCTTCCACTGCCTGTAGAGGATGTTGCTTCTCTGTTTTCGCCTAATTTTTCAATTTTCTCATCCAAATCTGCTTTCAGTTTTCTGGCAGAGGTTAAATTTATGAACCGCATTTTAGCATAAGGAACTTCTTTTACAAATGAGGGTAATAACCACGTACATTTCACTTCGGTGCAGGACAATTTACCGCGAATTCTCGTCCATGCCTCAATGTAAAATAACACGCTTGCTACGTGTGAGCATGATTCTGCAAGCCCTGCTTTGCATCCTAAGCAATGAGCTGATTTGACTGTTCCATCTTTCTCGGCTATCACCCAAACAGAGATCAGAGGGTCATTCATTCGCTGTGAATGTCTCACTTTTCCTGCGACAACGTGCTTTCCGGAGACAATGCAACCTTGAATACTCGTAATGAATCCTGAGACCATGAAGTTGTAGGCCTCCAAACTCTTGTATGTCTTAAACTGCTGTTTGGTGTAAAAACTCGTTTCCAGAACCAGGTAGCTTAGCAAATCCGTCGCTTCGATCGGAGGAAGGCACTCAGAGTTGAACTGTTCATCGGGAATAGTGACCGGATCCACTCCAACCTCGGCAATTTTTTCTAGATATCTTCGTTTTACGTGGTCGTCTAGTTTTCTGCAATACTCAGATAATATTGGAATTTTACTGCAAAGCTCATCGATTGAAGGAACATGTCCCTTTTCCGCAGAATCCATTGTAATTTCGAGTAATTGCACAGCGATGGCATATAAACATATGTAAATTTCACCCGCGGTGGAACACCAACATGGCGGATACCCAAATATGGAAACATCTGTGACGTCACGTGCAAGCCAAGAATACGCAGTGTACTTTTTTAAGCTTCAAACAAAGAGATAAATACAGTTGTAGATTGCTGTAATGTAATACATAATTTTTCTTATCAGACAGCGTTGGGATTAGTTTATCTACTTGCCCAATACTGATACCATATTTCTCCTGAATATTTTTGCGATAAGGAGACAGCATATCTTTAGTAACTTTCAACTTTTCAGGCCCAAGAGGGTAATCATTATGCAAATTATGGAGGTTGCTAGGATACTGAAGATCAACTTCCAATATCAGACCCTTTTTACTGTCCACTGTATAAGTACCTAAATTAATCTTGCTTATTTTCTTTTGGTTCAACCATTTAAAACCTCCTGTTGGTAGGCATTGAGACATGCTTGCTCCATAAAGGTTATTCATATCTAGGTAATTATAAACTTAGACGGACCAGAGGAATCAGAATCTTTCATGTACTAATTATTAGCCTTCCCATATCGGTGACTAATATGTGAAATCCCACCGCGCGTACCTTTTTTAATGAACTGGAACATATCCACATCTGTCATGAGCTCAAGTTTAATTCCTGTCATTTTCAACATTGCATCCCAACTCAATCCAGGACTAGTAAAATAGTGTGCGGGATCCACTTTATAATACTGCAGACATGTTTTTCTAAAGTTTTCAAATATGTCCGCCAAAAGCAAAATATCAGACTTCAGATACAGATCATGATATTCACCCATATTCTTTAATTTAAATATATCCCATACTTTTTGAGCGTGTGTATATTGCTCATCTCTAATCCCCTCATCAGTAAGAATACTATAAAACTCATCTTTTGATGGTCGCTGTTGGTCATTAAACCGCTCGACACAATCCATATAATCATAAGGATAAACCCCCTTTTGTTTCATAAGATTAAATTTCTCACCTTTGAACACCTTTGATGTATATATATAGGCTTCTTCTGGAAGATTAGCAGCCAATCTTTCCAAACTACTAGCCGAAAATTGGAAACTATCAAGAAAGATAAGATACTTACCAAGCATAAATGCCATGTATTTTTCCGTATTGTTCGGAATACAATTAATTTCCAAGTCATGCTCTTTTCCAATATTACCGATCTCCTGCATAATAAAGTGGGAATCATACCCACACGTCATTTATCTGAAAAGTTCAAGAACAAAAGGTAGTACTGGGCAGATGTTCACCTTAATAATAATGATCACTAATTAATCGATGATTAATGAGGGTACAAAGGTAAATTTTATTTGAAAGTATGGAATTCTTTTTGTGAAGCTACTTTGATCTATCTCCGTGTATTTGTTTTAGGCATTTTTAAATCAATCTTGATATTCCAGATGACTGGTATTAATTGCCATGTGGTCCATTTTAGACAACAGGACATTTAGAGAATTCAGAAAAAAAATAGAGAATTCAGTATTCATTGATTCCTTGTCAGTAAATAGCCCCTCCTGCTAGACTTACAGGCCTCAAAATGAGATGGTCTTTTACAATCCACTGAGCATGTCCTGAAACCTTTTCTAATGCTACCCTTTTCGTATATACTAGCCTGGGCTATGCCATATTATAAGTTTTAGAACCTGATCTGTAGATAATATCAAGGATCTCTCGAGGAGCCTTTATCTGTAGGCTCTCAATATTTTCAAAGACGGCTTGAAATCAGCTGTCCATGGCTGATATGCAACGTGATGCATTAGGCAGATTCTCTTTGTAATAATTATTCTTTAGGAAGGAAGGGACCTGGAAGGAGTCTGCTTTGTTTAAGTAACATGGTTGCTTGCAATCTGAGGGAGGCTGAACGATAGGAGAGCCTCAAATCTTGGGTGTTTATAATCACTTTGATCATGATCATATTTGCATTAGTTTTTTGAAAAGGTTGATCTCTGGCGTCCATTTTTGCAAGGTATTTATTCTGAACCATGTTGGGAGTTCTCAATAGTTTGTCCAAATTGGTGCATTCAGGAAAGCCTCTGTTGTCATCACTTCCCTTACTAGTGGAATCATGACGGTTTTGTACTTTTTGCAGAGATTGTTCAACTTTCTGGGACAGTGTTTCTCTTAGAAACTTATGTTCTTGTCAACCTCAAGTGTGTTTCAAAACATCTCCCTCAGAGGCTGACAGGATGCCCTCGGAATCTGGCATTATTATGAAAAAAAAAAAACCAAACAAAAACAAAATGGCAACATGACTTGATCTCTACAGTGGCCCTCGCATACATTGGTTAATGTCATCTTTACGATAGGATTTTTCATCTTGTCATTGGATTTTTGGGCAAAATGTATTCTATTGAAGGTAAGCCTTTTTTTTTACGGTAAAATATTGATGCCTAATCCGATGGCAAAGTGCTTGCCCGACAGCACACTGATATTGAACGCGTGGCTCCAAATTTTCCAGTATAATTTACTGGAAAACTACTTACTTATTTTAGGCACAGGCGCCAATCATGGCGGCCAGGCTACAACACCTTGAGAAGTTAAGTGGCTGAAACTCGTTCGTTGACTTTCCCACAAGGGGCGACTCGCACGTGGATAACTGCTTAGGAAATCCTCCGGATCTTTAGGAAAGTTGTTATCCTATTCAAATCCTCATTAAAACCGACCACACAGGAATAGTTCTGCCGGCACGCAATAAACTTAGACCACTCCACTGAAAGGTAACAATCCGTGACTGCAGAGAACACCGAAAACAAGCATTATATCTTGCTTTGTCGTCTCTGGTTTGGTCCGAGTTATTAATCTCAACTAATGTTGATGCAGTGGTCTCTCAACTGGAAACAAAACTTGTCAATTTAATGGACACGTGCCTGCCCCTTAAGACGGTTACAATGTCCTCCAGGGATCCCGTGTGGATGAGCCCTCTGGTAAAGACACTACTGAAGAAAAAATCTAGGCTTAGTTGTAACAATAAAGAATAGTTAGTGACAATTAATAGGCGCATCTCTGAGTTGATTTGTGAAAACAGGACACATCTCGCCGCTCCTGTGGGAAGTGGTGGTTGGTGGAAAACCGTAGAGGACATCACACAAGGTTGCACCCACTCCATTTCTGTTGTATTAGCTAACACCTTTGCCAACCAGTTGAATGATTATTTTCATGAACTTTGTACTGACCTGAATTACATTGCACCAGTAGATGTGGTTGTCGGGAGCGAAATTGAAGTACCTGAAATTTCTGAGAGGCTTGTTTGGAAAAGTCTTGGTAACATCAAACGAACAGCGATGGGCCCTGATGGCATCCCTTTTTGGGTTTGGAGGGAACATGCTGAAATTTTAACACCAATTCTCAGTCATATTTGGAATTTGTCTCTGCGCACGCACACCTGGCCTATGTGATGGAAAAGATCTAATATAAATCCGATACCCAAGGTTGACATACCCAAAGAAAAGTCTGACTACCGTGGCGTAAATATCACTCCAGTTATAGCCAGGGCGTTTGAGAATGCTGTTTATAACACTATTGTGAAGGAGGCTGTGGAGGAAAATCTAAGCACCATTCAATTTGCTTACCATGAAAGTGGAAATTGCACTAGTGCACTGTTAGCGATCCAGCACTTTATCAACAAATACTTAGATAATCCAGACTATAAGGCAGTACGGGTATTCGCTATGGACTTCAGCAAAGCGTTCGACTCAGTCAGACATGAGCTACTATCTAATAAACTAAAGTTGCTACCCCTGAATGCCTATATCATCAACTGGTATCACAGTTTTCTTTATAACAGACAACGTATAGTCCAGCATAACCACCTTCACGAGTGGAAAGGAGTAAACAAGGGGACAACATAGGGTAGTGTGAGCGGCCCCTACAAATTTAATTTAATGTGTTTCTGAATGACCTTGAAATCAAGCTAGGTTCCACTCCCTCTCTTTTTTAAGTGCGCAGGTGACTCAACCATTGTCGCACCAGTGTGGAAAGGGGGCAGTGATACGTCTAGTGATTTAGTGGAGACTTTTTTAACGAACTGTTATTCGATGAGCTGTAACCCTAACAAGTGTAAAGAACTTGTCATAAAGAAGAAAGGGAACTCCACGTTCTATCCTGTTGTACGTAATATACCACAACATGCCACTCTTGGTTTATTAGGTTTGACCTTTCAGAATGACTGCAAATTTTTTGCAGACATAAAATCTAAGCTGTGCAAGGCCAACAAATGTCTACACGTGCTGAAAGCATGTAGAAAAGAGCGCTACAACCAGACAGAAATTGATTATCTCTTCCACAGTGTTGTTCCCCCTTACATAACCTATACACTATCTGTTTATGGTGCCTCTGATGCGGAAATTAATGTCCTTCAGCAATTTTTAGACAGATGCTTTAAGTTACGCCTTATATCTACACAGTTAAATATTAGATCATTACTACAAAAACAAGAGAAAGCGATTTTTCAAAAAGCTAAACAGCACGACAACCACCCTCTGAAGGTGTGCTTACCACAAGAAAAGAACAATCTAACCTACAATCTTAGACGTGAAAGCTTCTAGAGGCCCAAGATAATCACCGAACGTTATAAGAACACATTTGTAAATAGATTAATTTTTAAATACAACCTTTTATGATATTTTGTGTCAGATATGTGTGACTAGTTTTTTGCATTTTTAATCTTTTTATTGTATTGTAATTTAGCTGAACTTTTAATCTTTTTATCCTGTAACATTGGATATGTACTTTTATCTAATGAGCAGTAAAGACATTCTATCTATTTTATTTTACTAAAAAATTAACCTCTTTACGAGGAATTTTCAAGAAGCATCTAGCAGGTTTTTGAGATTTGAATCGCTTTGCTTGCGTGGAATGCGTATTGTTTTCCTTTGAGATTAACTAGTAGATTCTCCTTGCTTATCATTGTAGGGCGCTTAAAGTGTTCTTGTGAGAATATTGAATTTGATGAGAACTTTTACGAATAGGACGTTCGCACTCTGCATGCAGCTAAGCGTATGCTACCGTACTGATTAAAAGTAATTTACAGCAAAACGTACAAGTGACTTCTCAACAATTATTATTTCAGCATGTAATAAGCCACTGCTTGTAATTCTTGAATATTCAGAGTGAATTGTATTGAGAAAAAGGACAAACCTGCCAGAATTCACGAATTTAGAGAAAGGTAAGATTAAGTTAATATGACTGTGTTTCCTTGTCTGTTTTGTTATTCTAGTAAGTACGAAAGTCAGTAAATAACTGCATAAGAGATAAGTTTTTGTCTGCTCTATTATAATAATTATTTAAATGAAATGTAGGTGTCACTTGCTAGAAATAAACTTGTGGCCCTCAAGAACTAACAGGATTTTCGTAGAACAAATATAAGATTAAGAATAGTTAGAAAAGAGATTGAAGACAATAAATACTTAATAGTTTTTGAAGGACTGGAATATTTAACTTATAGTCTGTCAAAAGCTTTATATTTAGACCTCATATTTAAGAGGCCCTGCGCCTAAGAAACGACCGATGATTTCTGGCTAAAAAATAAAATCGGCCGATTTTTATCTCCCAAGTAGAGCTTACCGAATACTATTCAAAAGTGAATTTTTTTTGTTTCAGTCTCACTATAAACCAAAAATATTGAGCCGCAAACTTTTCCCGTCTGATAGCAGCAAAATCAGGCCTAAAATAAGCCCTCGCAAAAAACGGTTCAGCACTCACTGTCGCAATGCAAAATAATGAGAAAACTACACAGTGATAAAGAAAAAGGCCTTTTAATGCAATATCATTTGATAAACATCGAAAAACTGCCGAAACGATTACAAAATAAGTTTTCAAATATTGCATTCTAAATTAGATAGAGCGTTGGAGCTGATTTTAAAATAATTATTTCTTAAGAGTCCAACACTGTTGAAAGCAATCACAGTGATCAATTAGACATTGGAGGGATATACATTACGATTCTGGAAAAACATTTTTCGGCCAAAGTATATTGACGTTGTACAAAGCTTTCAAAGTTACCGTGTTTACCGTTATCTTGCTACTTCAGCGAAACACTTCTCTGTTGCCAATACGGCCGTGGATAGCGTGGTAAACGCCACTTTAATCCTTGCTAGGCACTCAAAGACCATCCTAAGTAGAAGCACGTAGAATTAAAAGAGAATGGAAGATGAAAAATACGCAGAAGAACAAAATAACTCGAAATTACCATCTGCTGACGAAACTTGAATCTGGAAAATGTTGTCGTGTGACAGCAGCCATTGACGTCATTTGTCTAAACTACGGCAGAATCTAAACGAATGCATAGATGGGAAAACAACGTTTCTCTCTTGGCCAGAAAGCGTTAAGTGAAACTAATGTTATTTTTCACAAACGATTGTGACTTAAAAAGAAAAAATTTCGGAACCGCCGCACCGTTTGGGCCTCAGTGTGATCTTAGCGTTATGGTGTGACGAGTCGACGCTCCTGGCCAGTGGTCTATCGAAAAAACCCTGACTCAATGTAATTTTTCGGGCGGGAATCATTCAT